ATCTAACCACCCACCAAAACTTGATTTCTCAAGATGCCATGGACTTGGAAGAGCTGAAGCTGCAAACTCATCCCCACGTTTCCCACCACACCATTTTCTGATGTGTTATTCCCGTGATGTGTTACCCATACTCTGAGCCCTTCTTAGCTTGCCAGCTGCCCTCTGCATCTTGACTTCCGCCATTTTGACACATTCTCTTTTTCTGTATCTCTCCCTGCCCCTCAGTGCTTTGGTGTGGTTCTTCTGGGAAAGCAAATATGCTGCCCTGAGCCACGTGCTGTGTGCCCCATTCCTGCTCAGGCAGTGTGGGCACACATAGGACCTAAGCAAGTCTTTGCTGAACATCTGAGAGGCCTAAGGAAGAGTCCTTCTTACACATGTACATGGTCATTCTACTTACCAGTTTAAAGTCCTTTGGTGGCTCCCATGCCTTCAGGACAAAACCTAAACTCAGTTCAAGGCTCACCTGCGTGCCAGAGGCTCGCCATTCCAGCTGAAATGGTTAGCGGTGCTCCGGGCAAGCTTTGTGCGAAGTGTAGGTGGAGGGTCCTCTCTGGTGCCGGAGCTGGGTGGAAGGTGGCCAGCCCCAAATCCCAGCCATCATGTTTTATAAACTTGGAAGGGTCTGTGATGACCTCTCTGTCTCAGTTTCCTTCTCTAGATAATGGGGTCCATGCTACCATGTAGTAAGGCTTTGAGAGTTGAATGTATGACTGCACGTTGAGCATATAAACCAGGACCCGGCACATGCAAATCCTTCATAGCTGTTGCCCTGGAGTTACGGTAAACATGATAACAGCGCTTCCTTCTGCCTGCCATACTCTCCTCTGCCGTTACCCAGCAAATAGGCCCCTCCTTCTGTCTCAGTGCCTACAACATGACTTCTCTGAAGCCACTGCAGCTCTGGGTTGAAGACATTTGCAGGGGGCAGGGGGTTAGTGTGTAGTTTTATTAAAGTCCACGTTTGGTTGTTTCCTCTAGAATGAAGATTTAACTTCTCTCAAGTATAAATTTAGGATCAGGGTTTGAGGTGGGGCAGGGAGGTAGTAGACAGGCCTGCCTGTGAGGGAGATTAACCCTAAGTGTTACGAAATACCACAGGGAACCCTGTTACTTTGTGTGCTAATTAAACCATTAAAAATAAATAAATAAAGCAAAAACTTGCAACAACAAACTATCTACCACATTAGACTTGCCAGGAAAAACTAGGTCATTTGTAAAACTGTCTGTTACATTCTTTATTTGTCTTTGGTTTCATTGTTCTTCAAAGCCTTTCTTAACTGTTTTCAAGGACTTGCTGACTGTGAAAGAGAAGCCTGTTCTCCCAGCAATTAGGAAGTAGAGGCAGGAGGATTGGAGTCAGGGTCATTCTTATATATTCATTATATATCCAGTTGAGGCCAGCCTGAGCTATGTAAGACCCTGTCTCAATAAAATAAATAAAAAACTAACCACAGTATTATTACAATTCTTTAACATGTTTCTTATGGCTTCTAGACAGAGACCTAAGCTAAAGACAAGGTCTCCCTTGTCTCATGTCAGGAGCAGCAAGATGGCTATCAGTCTCTGACCTCGGGCACAGTCTGGCTGCTTGACCAATGTGACCGTCAGCAACACTACAGGAGCCTTAGAGTGCCAACTGTGATGGAGAGGTGTTGGAAAGGAATAGTTCTTTTTCTTTGGAAAAGACTTGAGGATTGGACTTCTGCCATGATGTTTTATTTGGCACCGGACAAATAGGAGTAGAAGCCTGGCCCAGAGGACTGGGATCAGACAGCCAAGATACGGTCTTTATCTGTAGGACCAACTATATTGTCATGTTTCTTCAACATGGTGCTCATTTATCATCCAAGAACAACCTGCTTTATAGCATTTGCTGATTGCCCTGGTGTAAATACTCTCATTGTGGTGTTTTCAAGCCACTATTCTGATGCCAACCATTTCCCACAATTCCTCAAAATGGCCCACCGACCCACAGTGAGCTGACTCCAGCATGCTACTGTATGGATTTATTTTAGTTTTCCAACATGCATATGGAATATGAAATGATACATTATATATGAATGATTCATAATATATGACCATGTCATCTCCAAGTATGATGGCGAGGAATAGGTGTGGAACAGGTCTGAAGTTCCCTAGAAATGTGGCTGCTCTAACAGTGACCCCATACCCACCTGGATTCTGAAACTCTGCACTGGTCTTGTTACTGGGGACACGGAGGTTCCCCTTTGGAGTTATTGGTCCCATTAGCAAAATAATTTAAAAATAGGCTCAGAAGGAGTCTTCAGGACAATTTTGTTCACATTTAAGAGAAAATATAGAGTACAAATCAGGTGAGAATCCTGGCTGCCACCTGGAGGAAAGATGGAGGAAAAGTCATATTCTTTAAGTTAGATAAGAATATCTTTGAAGTTGAAAGCACGCCCAAGAATGGAAGAGGGTGATGAGCTCAGGAAAAGGCCCCCGAACCATCCTTCGTGCAGTGGCTGTTTAGTCTTTCAGAGCCCCACCTCCCTCTGTATTACCTAAGTGCTTTTGGGGCACCTAAGTGCTTTTGGATAATGCCTTCTTGTGGATACTAACTTCTTTCATGCTAATCTTACTGCTGCTATCTTCTGCTTCCAAGCTGTGGTCCATAGCCTTCCTGGCCTTTGAGCTGGGATCATCCACAATCCCCTCTCAAAATGGAGTCACTGGGGTTCCAGTTTGATTCTCACAACCAGGTTTATGCTTTCTGTAACATACTGACTCAATTAGCTTCTTATTCCAGGGTCCAGTTGTGAGTTGGCTCTGGGGAGAGCCTGATGGTGTTAGCTGTATTGAGGGACTGTACTTCACATCACAGCATCATCAGTTACCAGTGTACACTAGAGACTCAGTCTCACTGGAGAGCAGGTGGGTGGGAGAGGTCTACAGGTCGGGGTATGTTTGGCTGGCCACCGTGACCAGCCAGGTTCTGTGGAAGTGGGCTTTGCAGAGTTAGAAACTCAGAGTCATTAGATCATTAACTTTCTTGGCCAGGAATTTTTTTTTTTCTGAAATTAACACTCTATCCAAGCTGCATGCCATTGGATCCAATTGAGTAAGCCTGAGGTGTCGTTAGGGATTTCCTGAAGAAAAGAAACCCTTTGGCCAGACTATGGACATAGCCAGGTCTTTGCTATTTCATGTGTTTAGTAGAAGGGAAAGGGTAGCAGAAAGGCCTTGTCTGTGTTTGTGGTCCAGGTGCTCACACACATCAGAGTCTTGCCGAGTAGGGGAAGGGTGATTTGAACCCATGGCCCTGCTCTGGAAGTGTGCTGAGAGGCTCACCAAAGAGTGTCCATGCAGTGTGGAGAAAACAAAGCAGATCCAAACACCTGTTCCCAGACCCCTTGTGATGCCCCTGCCACCTAGAACACAGAGCCCGGCATGGTGCTGTAAGCTTCCACCACTGGCCAGGCCTTTGGGTACCTTCTCCAGAAAAATGGTGGGAAAGATCCTAGGCATGCTAGCTCATGCCTGTAATCCTAGCACTTGGGAGGGTGAGGCAGGAGGATTACAAGTTTGAGGACAGCCTGGACTACACAGCAAGACCTTATCTCAAAAACAAAACAACCCTCTCCCCCACCCAAAATCTAGAAAAAAATTGGGTCTTTACAAATCTTTAATTCCCACAGCCTGGCCCAGCTGAACACAGAAAAATCAGATGTGCTCACGTCAAAGATGGAGCTAAGCAAATTAGTTTCTCTTGTGGAAGAACTAGCATCTGCAGTGGACATCTCCGTAGCCAGAGTGAAGGTGCAGACTGTGCCAGCTGCCCGTTGTCTTCCGCGCTGCTGGGTGACATAGCTCCCCAAGTTCCTTGTGTTCTCCTGTAGAAAAGGGACAGCTGACTGCCAAGATGACCTCACAGGAGGCCTCTTCACATTCAGGGTCCCGACAATATCTCCTGAAGATCTTAAAGCAGCCTCGTGGCCCCAGCCAGCCCTCTCCACCCCCGGAGGAGTGAGTCGATGGGTGGCTTCCCTGCTTTCCCTTCTGTGCCCTCCATCTCACCATCACTCACTGAGGCTTCCTGACGAATCAGGGAGTGCTAACAGCCGCGTCTTGGCGGAAGGACCCTCTAGACAAGGCATCCAGCCACAGGCCTGTGTCCACAGAGAGCCTCAGCTCCCCCTCTTGGCTTTCCCTTGGCTCCCAGGAAAACCAGCTCTCTAGTGGCATGGGGCACCTGGGACATCCCTGTGCCTGGGCTGGGGTGTGAAAAAAGCCTTGGGAGACAGAGGCTTGATTTTTCGGGGCTCTAGGAATTATGGGAGCAGATGGGCTGTAGGATCCAATTTTGATGCCAGGAACATGTTTCTGTATAAAGTAAATGTTTTCCCACTGTGGCTCTCCGGTGAGCGAGTAGAAGCGTAGTTCCTAAAGATGCAAATAAGTCTAGTCAGGAATAAATATTGAATGGAAACTTCAAAGCCTCTTGGATTTCTCCAGTTACAGACCCTGAAGATTTCTGTCCAAACAAGCAGACGCACACAGGTAGATGGAGGCTGGGGAGGGGCAGGTGGAAGGTTGAATAAATGAAAGAATATCCCATATTTAGTGTGTGTGGGGGAAGCACAAGAAGCCTATTGCCAAAGGAATTATTGTCATGTCTGGCCAAGACTTAGTGTCTTTTCCCTCCTCATGTGTGCATTGTATTTGTCATAGGAACATAACATATTATACATATTTATGGGCTATGAGGTGACATTTTAGTACATGTGCATATGTAACATGTAATGATTTGACTAATTGGCGTGTTCATTGCCCCAGAAATGTATCGTGTCTTTGTACTGTGAATATCCAAAATCCTCTCCTTATTGAAGTGTCAGCAACTGCCACCAGCACCTCCTGGGCTGTGAAGCGTCAGAAGCTGCTCCTCGGAGCCTGTTACAGCCCTCCTCCCCTGCACCCCTTTCTCTGCTCAGAGGCTTGGGGTGTTTTCAGTGCACCTTCCCCCTTTTCTGTTGCAGATCTCGCCTTGCAGATTTTTTTACCAACTGCCAGCCAGAGTCCAGGTCATCCAGCAGCTGTCTTAAGGAGAACTATGCAGACTGCCTCCTGGCCTACTCGGGACTGATTGGTAAGACCTGGGGAGGGGTCCAGGAGAACCTGGATTACACATCCATCTACAGCATCAGGCCACGTCTGTGCAGGAGTAATTTCCTAGTGGACTCTGGACTGGGGAGTTTGGAGATAGCCTGAGGGGAGGGAGGGAGGAAGAATTAGGAAGAAGGGAGGGAGAAGGTGTTGGAGAAAGGGAAAAGCTGGTAATTAAGGAGCAGGAAGGCCACAATTTTAAAGAAAGTAAAGCATCTGCATTGGAAAACTGGCCACACATAACAGAATCAGGGAATGTGGTTATTTGGAAGAAGAGAGAAAATCAAACAGAATTAATTGAATTAGAGAACTTTGGGGAGAAGGAGCTTGGAAGTCAGAGAAACTTTCCAAGAAATGACCCTTTGGAAATGGACACCCAGTCCTAAATAGCTCCCTGCCGTTCTCGTTCTTGGTCATGTGACTCCCGATGTACAAGGGATTGTTGAGATTTTTTTCCCCACTGTAAATAACTGTTTGAAAACAGGAACTGCATTTTCTTGTTTGGGAGGGCTGTGGCGCTAGGCACAGCTCAGTATTCAAGAGAACAGTAAAATTAAACAGGACTCCTTGGGGAAAGATCCAGACAGAGGCAGACTTATATCTGGGGTAAATAGATTGGGCAGGAAGAAAGGCGCTGACCCCATGTGCCAGGGAGCGCTGAGGCTTCTCTGTCAGGGCTCCATCACAGTTGGCTGTGGAAGGTGACACACAGCCCTGCCTCAGCTCCATCTCCCTCCCAGGGAGGCTCACGTACATGACCAGCTGGAAGAACCTCCCACTCAGCACAGGCTGAGCTCGTCACCAGAGTGCCTTCAGTGAGAGCCCTTGGTTTAAGGGGGTGGGTGTTTCATGCAAGGCTGCCCCAGGCACTCCCAGCTTTTCGGGGGACACCTCTGAGCCGTACCATACCCATAATAATACGGTTACACTTCCTCCAGGTAGGCACCATTTCTGTGGCTCTGTACAGCCCCAACCAAGGTTAGAACTGCAGAATGTATTCATACTCTCTGTACTGAGGGTCTTAGTCCATGCCTGGGATAATACATGAAATTACACACTTGCAGAAATAACAAAAACAGTTAAGCCATTTGTACTGTTTAAAAAGAAAACAAAACAAAAAGAGAAGTAAAGCCAGGGATGCTCCCAGAAGGCAGTGCTAAGTCTGTAGATGTAATCTCACTCCCAGATGTAATCACCGTTAGTGCTTCAGTCTGTGTCCTTCCAAGAGCTGACACTCATTGACTCTCCTGTGAGTGGCCAGGGTGAGGGCCTGCCAGCATCTGCATGAGCTCATTCCTAGGCTTGGCAAAGCCTTATGTGCTTGAGGATGATGAAACACGTGGCAGGGAGCACGTGGCAGATGGAGTGTGTTGTGCAGGCCAAGATTTCCGTCCTGGGTCAGTATCTCTTCTTTCTGTGGTGCCCTGAGTTGGTGGCGCCCAACTCCTGCACAGAGATCGTTCTGGCTTTCCACTGTGGCATCTGAAGGGCAGAGGCTTTGACCTCCTCACTGGCCAACCAGACCTCTCTGTAAGATGCAGAACAAACTCTCATGCTAATGATGAGATATGAGTCCAAAAAAGTAATAGACCAGTAGGATAATGACAATATGCCCTTGGCCTCAGAAGAGCTTCTACAAGCTATTGTTCTCTTTGTAGCCAAACTCATCCTTTGGATTTCTGACCACCTACTACTTCTTCCTTCCACAAAAGCAACTAAAAACAGAAAGTTCTTGGCGTCTGTGAGCCTTGCCTGGTATGAGCCACCCAAGAAAAGACATTTGGATTTTATTAAATATCTATGCGTTGTGTATTTCTCCCAGAGGAGAACTCACCAGAAAAACCACAAGTCATAAGCAGGAAGGCCTGCCCACACACCATCTCTGTGGGAACTGGTGTGATCCATAGACAACACTTCGGAGTCCCTGAGTGGGGGATCCCACTGTTCCCCCGCCTTCCTTCGGTGTATTCTTTCTTCTTCCTTCCTTAGAGTCGGGTGTAGCCTGCTGGCTGCAGATTATCTTTGTATTTATGGAGGACCGTGAGCTCCTCTGCCTCCACCTCTCAAGCTCTGGGTGCCAGGCGTGCAGTGCCATGCCTGGCTTCTGCCATGCTGTACATCGGACAAACTGATTGGTGTGTAGAAGCTGATCTACACACCAACCATCTCTTTTCACTGTGCATGATTTTACTTAAATCAGTTGAGCATCTGGGGAATGGAAGCTTCCCTGTATACATTTGTAGACATTCCGGATGTGGGGATCTCATTAGAAGCGTCTACTCTTCCCTGAGTTACCCTAAAGAAGCTGCTTGCTTCTGAGGAAACTGGGTTAAAAGCCTTAAAGAAATTTTTTAAGATATGTGCACCCAGAACTCTCTATTTATGAAGATTAATGACATTTTCAAGAAAATGCAAGGGATTTGGCAACTCATAGATTCTAAATTAATTCTTGCCTCCTCCGTGACATCCATACCATTTGTGCAGGAAGAAAATAAAACCCAAGGAGTTTGCCTATAATTTTTAAAGTAACTGTGTAAATTATTTTATGTGTTCAAGATAAATTGCTAAGAGAATGCTCCGCTTAATGTAATTTCCCACCCAGCAAACAGAGAGTTTGCAGTTAGCTGTGGCATTTCCACTGTCAGGCCAGCATCTGTTTCTTCTTAGGCCACAGGAGAGTGGCGTCCACACAGACCAGCAGCGGCAACACGGCTTGTCTCTTTCTCTCTTAGGCACAGTCATGACTCCCAACTACATAGACTCCAGCAGCCTCAGTGTGGCCCCCTGGTGTGACTGCAGCAACAGTGGCAATGATCTGGAGGAGTGCCTGAAGTTCCTGAACTTCTTTAAGGACAATACGTGTCTCAGTGAGTTTTCAAAACCTAAGATGCATGTCAGTGCGTACATGTGTTCCTGAGCTGAAGTTCCGTCCCTTTGTTAGCTCCCCTGTTCCGTCCCTGTCTCCCTCCCTTTCCTGATGGCTGTTGGTGACTCCTGTTTCTTTTGGCACACTCAGTGCACAACAGAGAGCCACACAAGTGATGAACCAGGTGCTGCCAGGCCCGAGATCCAAAGGCCTGTGAGGACAAGAGATTCTAGTAACCGAGGGGAAAGAATACCTCTACCCACAGATGAGGTTTTCATCTTGGCAGCCAAGGGAGAGTCCTTTCCCAGGTTCTGAAGAACTTGGAAGAATATGTAATGTGAAAAGCTCAAACAGAGTTGATAGGACTGGCCTCCAGGATCATCAGTCCCTTGCAGTCAGGGCTGGCTCCAAGTCAAAGCAATAGTCTGTCTTGGCTGGGGAGTCTGGCCATGCAGCAGGGCTACCCCGGATTATGGCTATCTTGGGAGTTGATGAGCCTTGGTGACCAGGGCATTCCTCTTTGGGGACAGGACTGGTCACTCTTATGGCACTTTGGAATTCTGTTTGGCAAAGGGACAGGGACATACAGATGTGAACCATGGGCATATCAGAAAATCTTAAAAAGTGGGACACTGGCTCTCTCTCACACACGGTTCCATGATGGGTGGGCATCCTCTGCATGACAGTCCAACCCAGTGTTACAAGGGGGTGGGCTCCATGCAGTTTCCTTCTCTGTATTCCACATGAGGCCCCTAGGAGATCCAAGTGCCTTATCCACATGACCGCTGAGTAAAAGGGTAACATTCTTACAGACCCTGAGTGGTAGAGTTTTGATCCAAAGCTTTGGTCCTTGCATAGCCTCCTGACTCCCAGTGACCTGTTCATGGCTGGTACCAAAGGACCTGCTATCATGAGTGTAATCTAGATGTCAGGGCCAAGTTTGGCTTCTTTCAGCTTGTGATTTACCGACTATATGGAAAACATCTCATGGGGATTTCAATTTCTTCATCATTCCTCCAGGGGAAAGTAAAACTCAAGCTTTCTTGATACGTGCTTTGAACAATGTAGCTGCAATGCTCTAGTTTGGTTCTTCTAAAAACAAAATGATCTGTTGAGTTCTTAGGTACCATTTAAACTCAGAAAAGGAGCCATAAATATGGAGGCGTTTGCTCAACATTGGGTGTGCTAGTGTGTGACAGTTGGACCTTTTGTTTGGGTTTCATTTTATGCATCTTCTTTTTTAAAATATCTTGTACTCTTCTTTTTGAATGCAAGTTTTAGCAAAAATAAAGCAGGAGAAAATTTGTTCCTCAGAGAGAAATTAAAGTTGTCCCTCTTTGGTAATATTTTGGTAAAGAGAAGAATAGTTTTATTACTGACTTTTGAATAAAAACAAATGCCAAAGCCAAAATCTTTCATTATCAGTCCACTTACCCTGGTTTGCATGGGGCACAGGACTGCAAACACAGTGTCTTACAGAGGGCCTGAAGCAGAAGCCGTCACAGTTTCTTGAACACGACTCAGATGTGGAAACCTCATTCCGCGTCCTGCCAGCTAAGCCAGGCTTCTCTCAAAGTCCCCTACCATGAGTGCAACTTCAGCATCATTTGGTTATAGTTTATGAATGGGAAATGGTCTGTTTAAAGCCAAGTGCATGGCAGATGGACATGTAAGGAAGAGAGATTTTGTCCTCTCTTGGAGGTCTGCACCACCCTTGTGTGGTAGGTTTTGCTTTTTGCCTTCCTGGTGATAGTTGTGTTTGAGGGTGTGGCTTTGGTCTTCTGCTGCTGTCTCTGCTGTCCAAGACCTTGTGTTTAGCACATGGAGCCACACCTTGAAGTGAGTGGGTATATCAGGAATACTTCAGTAACTGAGCAAGAGAACAGCTGAGCTCAAGCGTGGGGCTGGCACAGCTGGGTAGCGGGCGGGCTTTGTGACAACTCTGTTGTCCTTGTCCTGAGGCCACTTGGGGGATCTGGTCCTCAGGTTTGCCTCTCTCTGTGGTCTGTTTAGCACTTAAACCTCAGAGCCAGGCTCGAAGGATGAAGCTGCATCATTTGGAAGCGGGCTCTTACAGACCCCACGGCCCCCAGCGTGGAGTCGCAGAAAGCAAGCTTCCAGTTCTTCTAAACTTGAAGGATGACAACTTTAAGACAAAATGTCACTTCTGCGGGACGACTGGGGCTCTGTTATTCTGTCTTACATATCGAAAAGTGCCGAGTAAGCGTCATGCATTAGCAGTGTGCACTTTCAGCTCCCAAATGAAGGGGTTTGATTTCTTATACAATGACTATGAAAAAAAAAATTGTAAATCCAGGGCAAATCCCTAAAGACCTGATTAAAAACTGTTTTTTATTCATTTTGGGAAGGGAACAACACACAACCAATTTACTCTTGCCATAAAAACAATCTAATCCCATGAAATTATAATAAGCTTTGAAAGTTTCACATTTCAAACTTTTCATTTAGACAGGGTTTGCCTATCTAATTATGCAGATTTTGTTTGGAAGACTGGAAGCAGAAAGGAGAAAAATAATCATACTTAAATTTTCACTAGATACCGATGAGGTTTGGGGTAGATTTTTCTTCTAAAGAAACTGGCTGCACTCTGCTGCCAAGTGAGTATTTGCGCTGCTTCGGGGTGAAGAAAATGGCACTGGCAAATCTCTGTTCAGGGTAGAGTTCTAATGCAGCGCAGGGCTTTCTTTTTCCTGAAAATGATGAAACTGGGGCCACTTCTGAATCTGTGGATGTCTTTCAAAGGGCTGACAATGAGTTCTTGCTGGCTGGGGGTGTAGCCAGTGTCCTGCTCAGTGGTTAATGAGTGGATTGATTTTTGAGTACCTGATCCAAGAGACTGGTTCTCAGCAGCAGTAAGGGGGCTAGGCATGGGGGATGGGTGTGTGGGATGGGGGTGAGTGGGGGAAGGGTGTGTGGAGATGAGTGTGTGGGGTGGGTGGTGAGTGGGGGGATGGGACGGGCAAGGGGGAGGATGGGTAGGGTTGATGGGGGAATGGGGGACAGGTTTTGTTCTGAGACATCAGTGCTATAACCAAAATTGCTCCTGTGCCTCTTTTGCTGTACTGGTCCTGCCTGTTATGTTTGCTGTTGGCCTCTGAAATGGGATTTCCTTTTGTTTTACTGCAGAAAATGCAATTCAAGCCTTTGGCAATGGCTCCGATGTGACCATGTGGCAGCCAGCCCTCCCAGCACAGACCACCACTGCCACCACTACCACTGCCTTCCGGGTCAAGAACAAGCCTCTAGGGCCAGCAGGGTCTGAGAATGAAATCCCCACACACGTTTTGCCACCTTGTGCAAATTTGCAGGTGAGGAGTTGGCCTGGGTTTCCTGTGAGAGCTGCACTCTGGGAGGAGCTGCGCTCATTGAAAGGTATCACTCAGATTTGAAGGTTTTCAGAGAAAGCTTCTTGGCATGTACACGTGTGTTCATACATACAATGTGGGAACCTTGGTGTCAGCCATCTTCCTCCATCTTGTGTGAGACAAGAGCTCTTGCTGGGCTCTGTGTAAGCCAGGCTAGGTGTGAGCCTTGGGGCTTATCTCTGCCTCCTGCCTTGTAAGAGGGATTACACATCAAGCTACTGTGTCTGGCTTTGATGGGTTGTGGGAATCTGAGCCCAGGTCTTCACGAATGTATGGCGAGCGTACTGGTGCTGAGCTGCTTGAGCCATCTCTCCAGCCCCATTGCATCTGGGAGTCGTGATGTCTCAGAGTGACGAGAAAGACAACCGTGGAGCTGAGTGCCACTTGCCGTGGCTGGGACTTTGGTCAAGGCTCTATGAAGTGAGGGGTCTGGGCAGATGCACCACAGAGGATTTTTCTGGGGGTGGAGGTGGTAGAGGTGAGTTGGCTGTCTATATTTGTGGCTGATTCTGTGTTCTTGGTAAAGCAGCAACATATCAAAAGAGGGAGTTCTTGGCTCATTACCATTACAGCCATTCAAACCTACATTGGACTATTTCACTGTCTCTGAAGGGAAGTCGGAGGCCGGGTTACTAGCTGCTGTGTAGAGTCCCTGAAAAGCTAGTTATTTGCAAGGAAAAAACATGCTTTCCCAGAGTAAGGGAAGCTGCACAGTGCCATGGAAAACCTCATGTGTGCCCAGAGCCAGTGAAAATGATCAACAAACTTCTTGAAGACCAACCCAGGTGTGCCTGAGCAGAAGCAGAGTATAAACATGGCAGTTTCCACCTTCAGTCAGAGGGAGCGTTGTCCATTCTGCCATTTTATTGCGTTTTCATAGTAGTACGGACTCAGCTGTCAACAGACAGTGGTTACGTGGAGGCTTGCAGGGTTCCTGTGCAGTTTGACTCTGTGAAGACGCTCTTAGTGGCCGGAGGGGAAGGGCAGTTACTCTCTCACAATGGCTCCTGCATCAGAGGATGTAAGTGTCAGGAAAACAATGTTTCTGTTCAAGTCTGGGCATTGGTGGGTCACAGAAGCAGGGCTAGGAATCCTGGAATGTCACCTGTCCATGGTTTTGCCTATATGCTGGGACAAAGGGAACCACATGGTGGCTTCTGCCCTCTGTGGGGCTGGGGAAGGGATGGTTTGTCCCTTTGCTGTTGTAGGACTGTTACAGGGTCTCCTGTATCCCTGACTGACCTGGAACTTGCTATGTAGCTAAGGCTGACCTTGAACTTTTGGTCCTCCTTCCTCTGCTCCCAGAGCACTGGGTTGCAGGCATGAGCACCAAGCCCAGTTCATGCTGAGGACAGAGCCTGGTGCACTGCTTTCAGGCGCTATGATGGGACCTCACTCTGACTACCGAGCATCTCTCCTCCCACCTCCCTGGGAGGGTCCTCTCCCGAGCTCTGGGAAGAAGCTTGGGAGTGCCTTCTCCATTCGTGAGTGCTGTGCTCTACAAAGTGCTGAGAGGTTTCCCCATCTTCTTTGTACAGCATCACCTTGCTGTCAGTGCCCTTCGCCTGAGCTGTGGTCCCTGTCTCCTACCCCTCCTGAGTTCCCGCTTCAACACTCTCAGACATCTTCACTCACACCAAACATCAGGGAGAAACTGGACCACGCAGCTCAACATCAGGACCAGTGTTCTCTGGAATCCTGAAACGCTCTTGAGCCCTTTCCATCTGCTCATCTCCCTCTGCAGAGAATGATGGGGCTGGAGGCAGCACGGGGAGGGTTGGGGGTAGCATGGAGGTGCTCAGTGGCATCTCCATTTTGCAGGACACTCTGAGTCTGAAACCGATTTGTTGGGTCTCCCGGCCTGGAGGAGGGGCTCTGAATTCAGACATGACCGTCTCTCCTCTGCCGCTGTCCCCATCACCTTGCCTTCCTGCTGCAGACACACAGTCAGCCTTTGCTCTCTGGGCCTCCCACACTTAGACTCCAGTGTCAGTAAACCCAGCGGTTGGATGAAGGTCAGGACCTCGTCCTCATAAGCTGCTGAGGGTCGTCCAGGAATGCTTTCTGATCAGTAAAGAAGGGGAGCTTTTGCTTCGGCAAAACCTACATCATTCTGTACACACTTGGAGATACAGAAGGCGACTTAAAGACTACACAGACGTGAGCTTTCAGAACCAACTCAAAGGTTCACTTCTCAGTGAATGACATCTAACAGGCCAGGTGCAGCTTGCCCACATCTCAGATTAATCACCGGAAACCATGATGCTGCAGTTCCATCCTTCCTTGAGTGGAGAAGACTCTGTCAGCCATAAAATGTGTCCTCTGCTTCCCAGTTCCTTTCCCTGTCCCAGCTCCTGGCTTGGGCTCTTAGGATGGGTGTGTCACCTCCAGCACAGATATGCCATGCCAACCCTCCCTACCAGGAGACTCTGTGTACCACCATACAGTTACCCTGGCAACGCTGAGGCACACATTAGATTCATTCCCCAGAAACCATGTCTTTCCACTTCCTGTGTTAGGACAGGCGCTCTGCTTTGTAAACAGAGGGACAAGATAAAATTAAAGAGTGCTGTTTATCTCAGGTCTGCCTCTGTTGACTTCTGAAGAAATTGGATTGGCAGGACTGAGGACGAACACACCTCCCTTCCTTGTGATGCATAGGGAAGTTTAGCAGGGGTTGGCGTCTGGGAGAGGAGGCCTTGGGTTTCATTGAACCTGTGGTTATGCCTAAGACATGGAGGAGGGCATTAGCACTGTGCTCATACAGGACATGCTAATTCTTGTCCTCCTTGTCCTGTGAGCACGAATATCACCTAGCTGCATTTGTTGAGACAGGGCTAGAATGGATGCTCCAGGATGATGTAGCTGGTCCTTAGTCGGCTGGCCACATGACTGGTCCGTTACAGGAACGAACGGTTCTGCCTGGCTGTGTTCCGGGATGGGAGTCTGAGCATGCTGAGGCGCAGTGGTGTGAGGCAGAGCTGGCGGCTGGAGAGTAGCACATTTCCCAGTTCCAGAGATGTGGCCCCTCTGTCCCCTTTCTCGTCAGAGCACCCCTGTGGGGCGGGACTCCCAGGAGGCGCATTCTCTAGGTCTGCCTTTCCTTTGTGCCTGCCTGGCTGTGGGTAGCTGAATTACCGTTTGCCAGGGGGTCCTAGAAATAAAATGGTGTTTGTCCCTGCTGCCTGTGTCACGACTCAGAACAGTGAGGCAATTGAGAGGATAGTGACTTCACTGAAACTAGTGTCTTTGGCAGGCTAATCCCAAAGCCAGTATATCTTTTTGCCTCACTTTCACATTAGGAATGGAGAGTGAGAGTAAGCAAAGGGCAGGAAAGAAAGACAAGGGTGCTGCCCTGCCGAAGGTCAAGACAGGAGTGAAGGGCAAATCTACAGCCCACACTCAGGGCTGCTTCTGGATTCAGGTCCAGGACACAGGACTGAAATTTCACCAATGAAAGTTTTGTAGCTCTGTGACCTCTTCAGGGTGACCTACATGAAGAATGGCGGAAAGATAATTTGAGGCCATAGACTAGGGTTGATGACAGTGGCAAGTGAAGGGCCCTCACCTGAGCACATGGTCCCTGCGGCTGACTTAGGACTCTGCTCAGAGCAGGACTCCCAGGAGGCGCATTCTCTAAGTCTGCCTTTCCTTCGTGTCTGCCTGGCTGTGGATAGCTGGATTACCGTTTGCCAGGGGGTCCTAGAAATATCCTCAAATGCTGTTTGTCCCTGCTGCCTGTGTCACAACTCAGAACAGGATTTGCTTGAACCATCTTGGAATCCATTGGTAACAGATCTGGAGACAGCCAAAGACTTTGGCAGCCTTAAAGTTCACTTCCCGTGAGAAGCGCCCTCTTGTAATATTTTTAAATACACAATAACACGAGGAGAATCTTGGGGACTGGAGGACCTGTCTTAACATTTGAGAGAGACTCCCCCTTGGAAGGAAAAAAAATAAGAATATGCATTTGTTGTTTTTTTTTTTTTTTTTCAAAAGTCTGCCTAGAAGTGTAATCATCAGTAAACCAGCCACATATCCACCTGGGAAAGGGCAGCGCAGGGCCTGGAGATCACGGGCTCGCGGGTAACTGGAAGGATCTGCTTTAAGAAACAACTTGATTGATTAGTACAAAATGTCAAGGCAATGTCCAAGTGCTGGCCCCCCGAGGTGAGAAAATACTGGGTTTGGGGTAACCTGCCAAGCTCCCATGTCAGGATTAATTGGCAGCATACTAGTAACAAGCGTGACGCAAGCTGGGCTATTGTTAGCCTGTCTCTCTGGCTTGTACGGAACGGTCGTGGGGGAAATGAAGAAACCTTAATAATTCTACCAATTACTTCATCATCTGTGCACTTGAGTGGCCTGGCAGCTGGAAACACTTGCAGTATTTAAACCAAGAGAGTGTACTTGTCGCCTAGGTAAGGCCAGCACCTCTGGGGATGTAAGTGGAGAGCCCTGGGCCGGGAATCTGCGCACTGTTAGCTCCAGCGCCCCAGCGAAGACTCTTTATGCAGTGTCTAATTGCAGGAGTTTTGCATTGGCTATCAGGAGGGGGAGGCTCCCAGGATTACCAAAACCCACACCCTCTTTCTTTCCAGAGGGAAAGGGTCTCACATTGTACTCCAGGGTGACCTTAAACCTGTATCATTCTGGCTACCTCAGCAGTCCACGTGCTGGGATTTTACATATGAGTGAACATACCTTCATCAGGTTCGCTTTGTGTAGTCCTGTATGCATGCCTGTTATGGGGGTACAGGTGGACATGTGTGAGTGTACAAGTCACGTGCCATTCCTCAGGAAGCCATCCACCCTGTTCTGAGACAGTATGTCACTTGATCTGGAACTTTCAGATTAAGTTTGGCTGGCTGCTACACAGACCACAGTAGGGATTTGCCTTTTTCTGCCTCCCTGGTGCTGGACGTGTGAGCGTGTGGCAGGTC